TCTCTCTGGCATGTCTGCAACCTTTTCAGTTTGTCTCTCTCTCTCTCTCTCTCTCTCTCTCTCTCTCTCTCTCTCTCTTTCTACAGCAACTTTATTATACGTGTACCGGCTCCTTCTTACTGCTGTCTTTTAGCCACCGATCCTAGGGTAGTTAAGATATATAACACCTAGCCTTTTCGGTTAGAGCAAAAATAATGGGAAACTATCATCTTATCTGTGCACGTTCGAGAAAAATCTATCTATCTGCAAAGCCGCGTACTTTTTCACGATATCGATACAATTAGATTGCCGATTCCGTCCGACGGTTATAGAGTCCCCTTGACAAAATTTACTCTGTACAGCCCCCATCCAGATATAATTCGTCTTTCTGCAGACGTTAAGCGACTTCCAGACCACTTCTAACTTCTAAACTGAAACTAAAAACACAGACTAAGCAGAAATGTGCAACCAAGAAAGGAGTGACAATATGTGAAAAGCAAATGTACGCAGATGGACAAGTCTCACAACTCCAATTTCTATCTTGAATGGGCAAGACAATGCTGTCCCAACCATAGTGTCCCAACACTTTAAAGGTCGCCCCTCTCCTGTTGATGATATTATGGTTTTACTTTATGAAAAGCCTATTCATTCAATATAAAATCTAACTGATATCTCGTGGTTCTCGTGTGCATGCTGCGCAGGTCAAATGTCTCTTAATCATTACTTAATGGTGGTCCTATATCGATAAGGGTTGGCTTCGGCCGCTACCCGGACAAAATTCAAAATAAGTTTCTACCAAACAGAAAATGCTTTATAGATGTATGCAATAATGAACGAAAATGGTGCTCCGAGGCGGGTGACCGCGGCAAAATTAGGAGAATTAATTAACTCGTTTGTATCTCGCCGTTCCAATACGCTTTTAAATTTTCTTCTGTCAACAAATTTTTGTCCTTATTGTTAAAAATGAAAACATCGGGTAAGCGAACAAATAGAAAATAAGTTGGAATTACTGGCGTTCAAGTTTGCACAAAATCGGCTTTCCCGCGTTTTTCGGACGCAAAATCGTGAGATCCCAATGATCCATGCGTTTTCAAAACATTGCAGTGCCCCGGTCATACTGAATCGATTATAGTGTAGTTAATTCCATTTAAAAGTACATGTACACGAATTTATGTTTCTTTCGGTATATTTTTACTGATTTGATTTTAACTCAAAGTGCATAAAAGTTATGATCAAACACTTTAGAAGGCTAGAATCTATATGGATCTAATAAATATATTTTGATTTTTTTTTTTTAACAGATGTGTGTGTGTGTATGTGTGTGTGTGTGGGGGGGGGGGTGTGTGTATACATAGATCTAGGCCTACATTGTGTTGTAAATTAAAATTCAACTGGGTGACAAGTATAGACCCTCGGCAAGACTAACAAGATTGTAAGTTTAAGACTATAGTGCAGTGTATTTGTGTGTCGTCACTTGTCTCTTAGTGTAAGGCAACAGAAGTGTATGGTGATGTTTTCCCACAGTATCGGAAAGAAAATAAATAATCACGTTTGGATAGAGAGAAAAAGTGCTGGAGTGAGTGAGGGAGGTTGAAGGTAGAGAGAGAGAGAGAGAGA